CAGCTCACAGCACCCGGTCACCCATCATGGTACTGACCAGACTCAGTTGCTTAATTTTGATGATTGTACGGGAACCGGTGTTTCAACATGATATGGCCGGAATCCCAACGATTTGTATATCGGATGATTAGGGTGATGGCAATGTTAAAGTGGAAATTAACCGTTTCCGTATAAGGAAGCATTCGGCATTCTTTGACCAAATGGCGTTACTTTCGTTTGAAATTTCCCTTATAACAATAATTTTTTAAGAAATTCGACTTCTCATGTCCACTAACTGTTATAGATCTTTCTAGTCTTAATGGAAGATTTCTTTTCATTTTGGGAAGTTAACAGCTTATGTCATTATTTTCTCTTCTAGTTACATTTTTGTTGTGGCATTTTTTCTTTTATTCTTTGGTAAATAGCTTTGAGTTGGGCGCCGTCTCCTGGTGTAATAGTCAGCAATCTGAACTTGTGTGACATTAGTAACAGGGTGACCCATTTCCATAGCATTGTGCCAAAACTAAGCTAGTAAATAACTCCGATGTTTTCTGACGGAGTTGGCACCGTTGGAGACGTCCTGAGTTTCTTGAAAAAAAAATCATAAGAATAACGATAGGGATTGTATAAGCAAATGTCGTTCGGTATAACGAAGCAGACGACCGCGTCAATAAGATTTGGTTTTTGCTTTTCGATTCTCCTCAGTCTGACATTCTTCTCTTCGCCAATTAAAAAGATGGTTTTTTTTTCTCAAAAGACTAAAGAACGAAACCATTTACCGATTCTGTGTCTGTGAGTTTTCTTTCTATTAATCAATTTTGTTTTTATTTGTTTATTTTATTACTTGATAATTGTCTTTTCTTTCTTGAATATTCGCTTTTGTATGTGTGTGTGTGTGTGTGTGTGTGTGTGTGTGTGTGTGTGTGTGTGTGTGTGTGTGTGTGTGTGTGAGAGAGAGAGTATGTGTGATTGTGACTATGTGCGTGAGCATATTTTTATCTTTTTTATGATCTGTGCCCGTGCACGCGTGTGTGTGTATGTGTGTGATTGTCGTTTGAAGTATAACTTAATCGTGTATGACTATCTGTATTTTTGTTAGGGGTGCGTGTCTGCATATTTTGTTTCGTTTTACTTTTGGGGTTTGATTTATGATTTATGTGTTTTGTTTTGTTTGTGCATGTGTGTTGTGTTCTTTGTTTTTCGGGAAGGGTGTGTCTGGTTTTTGGGGGTTTTGTGTGTGTGTGTGTGTGTGTGTGTGTGTGTGTGTGTAGCAGGTAATTTCGGAGATAGTTTGCTAGTCCGAAAAGAATTTACAACAATTACTGCTGTGTTTTACTGAACATTTCATTTTCTATTCATTTTTTTTGTATTGTCGCAGTGTCTTTCGTCTATTGTCACCTGTTTTACTTTTCAGAAATCCAAGTTATTAAAGTAAAAGGCACAAATTAGAAAATAAAGTGCTTGTATAATACAAAATCTGTATACTTCATATAAAAACATCATTTTTTTAGTCATTCAAGACGCTCAAACGCAACTTTTTATTTAACAAGCTGTAATTTGTCTTGCATATGAGCCAAAATATTATGTCCAGTGATGTGTGTCAAGAATGACAGCTACTCTCTCGTAACTGTTACTCAAGTCAGTGGTATATAAGCAAGTCAGCCAACTTGGATTTCATGTTAAAATATTAAATGGTGCGCTTATAAATCTGAGGATAAAAAGCTTCGGAATAATGTCTATAGATTAGAATTCATTAAACATTCCTTTACCCATATCATTTGCAAGAACCGAAAAATATTGAATTTTTATCATTTTAGCAATGAGGCTCCTGTTCATAAATATAAATATGGTTTCAAATCAATTACCTATTTTTTCAAGAGTGTACTTTGCTTTTATTTACAAAGGTCAAGTTTGGCTTATGGCCATATAACGTTGAAACACGGGTTCCCGTAGGATCACCGAAGTTGATCCCGGCTTGTACCTAGACGGGTAACCGCTTGAGAATATTAGGTGCTGTAAGATTAGATTTGTGGGAACTGTTCTAAGAAACTCTTGATCTCAAACGAGCAAGGTGAGTCTTTTTATTTCCGTTCAGACAGAAAACTGCCTCTTTAGAAAGACAAGTTATTTCATTACAATAATTATTCCTGGAAATCACAAAATGACCCATGTTCGTATTCCAGAAATGTGACGTTGTGATATATAAATATTTCTGATATATATATATATATATATATATATATATATATATATATATACAGAGAGAGAGAGAGAGAGGTGGCCACTCGTATTCGAGAATACCCGTCTACTAGGGCAGCAAACCAATCCCTATTGCAGACTCTCCCAGGCACATTTGTGTTTGTTCAACACCCACAGAGCCAGTCTGTGGCTTATACTGCAACTATGCTGAGCAGATCTTAGTTACAGTTTCTGGGAAAGAGCATGTTATCTAGAATGATCAACAATCTGAACACCAGCACACTCAAACCCTCGGTCACGATGACTTGTAACTTCATGCTAGCACAGCTATTGACGGCCCCAAGTGTTTCGTCGACCAATTCCACTCACACGGCTTTTGTCAACCCGTGGTATCGTTTTTCAGGCACTTTCCAAAGGTGCAGCACGCTGGGATCAACCAGACCGATAATAACAGGAAGTCTCCTTGCTGACAAATCGACCATGATGAGTGTCAAAGTCAGAAAGCGAACATTCTAACCACTCAGCTACGTGCCCATATATATATATATATATATATGTGTGTGTGTGTGTGTGTGTGTGTGTGTGTGTGTGTTAACAATCTATCGCATATCCTCAAGGGTGTGAACTACAAGTAAAGGGTAGGTCGCCAAAAGTTTGTACAATCGTCTTAGTTCTTGTTTTGAAGCGCTCTTGGTTGAACAACCCACAAATTATCCTAAACTCAAATCTCACACTTCTTTGACATTCTCAAAGGCTACTTCCAGCAAGACAGAAAAATAGAAAAACCAATAAGAAAGGTGCAAGAACACAACCTTGTTTTGTTCCATCAAAGACAATAAATGAGTCAGACACCTCTCCACTGGACCTGAGGCCATCATCCGCTGATGGAAAGACATTATGACACTGAGCATCGTTTCAAGAACACTCATCTCCCTAAGGACGGCCCAAAGAGCATCCCTTGAAATGATATCAAAGGCCTTAGAGAGCTCGACGAAAGTAATCTACTATCTATATTTCTCATGTTGTCTGTCAGTGTGTCTGTCGTGGGCGTTGTTACCTCGCCCAGGCCGCATTTCTCACCCGATTTCGATGCGGTTTTCAACACAAGTTTGCAAATGGCTGCCGTAAGGACATACCGGAGCCCGATTTTTGAGTTCGGGCTCAGGTTCCGAAAAAATCGATAATCCAAAAAATCGATAATCGAAAAAATTCTGCTTACAGAAGGAATTATAGCATTTCAACCAAATTTGACACCCTCTTAGAGTCTACCATTTGAAGTGTTGTCCAGAAGTTTCATGATCACGGACCCCTAAACAGCGCGGAAAATCGATAAAACCCAAACACCGATACGCCCAGATTGCGTCTGAACCGCATGTCGGTTTTTAGCAAAAACCGAGCGGATTTATGAAGAGGCCATTGGGAGTCATCATGTGAAGTTTCAACTCTGTGCACCCCCAAACAGAGTGCAAATCGACAATCGGTCAACCCTTAAAATGTTTTTCCGGTTTTTTAAAACTGATCGTATTGTGTTTATTTTGTTTAGTTCTTTTTTTCGTAACAGATTTAATGTTTACTATAGAGCTTAGAAAAAGTTGGCAGTGTGATATAGGCAAGAAGTAAGGCATGTAACAACATCAGCACGGCAAAGGGCACTCTTCTAAATGCAAGGAAGGGCAAAAATATTTTAAGTCAAGTGATAGCGATTGCTGTATTAGTCGTACTATTTTTTAATCAAGCACGGGCAACGCCGGGCCATGCTGCTAGTAAATAAATAAATGCTTCTCATGGTGTTATCCTTTCTCCTGTGGTTACCTTAAACTGAATATTGATAATTACTTATGGGCGTCAAGAGATTTCAGAAGACATTGAACAATTTAGATTCAAACTCTGACTGAATAACAGAAAAATCGTTTAAAGTGAAAGGAAATCAATAATTAAATTTTTAACAAAGAATTTTCATTGGTCTGCAGTCAAATGTGCATAGATGAAAAATTCATATATATATATATATATGTGTGTGTGTGTGTGTGTGTGTGTGTGTGTGTGTGTGTGCATTATACAGCAAAAAAAATCCAAACTTACCTCATGTGGGTATATAGTCTATTTCAGGCTAGCACAACCATATGTCAGTCCTCCACAGCCCTAAACTGATTGTATCGGAATAGGGGTTTTGAATTTGGTTTAGATAGCAGTCGTACGGGGCTATTTATGAAGACGCCTCGTTTTGATAAGGAGTCTGGATTGGTGACAAGGAGATGAGCCTGCGTGGGAGTTTATTTATGACCAAAGCCTTTAGTTGTATGCAAATGAATTTAGGTTTTCTGCTAGTATATTATATTATTAAGTGGGGTGGGGATGGGGGGCATTTAAAGACAAGACAATTTAAAATTAGAATAAATCATCTAAATAATAGATTCCTAAAATCTGTAAGTAAAACCAAGACGCCTAATGGAATAAATCATGTCATACAACACATATACATACTTACATACCCACTTACACACATACCTATATACGCCTACATATAATTATTGATATACACATACATGCACGCACACACACACACACACGCACACACATTTCTTCGTCATATTCTTTCATATTTATTCCTACTATTTCATCTAATAACCTATGTTTGCTTTTTTCCTTGGTTCAAAATTTCAACCTGATTCGATTTCAGCCAATCGACTGTAATTTGATCGGAACGCTACGATATCCGATTGGTTTCAGAGCAATGACATTTTTTTTTGGTCAATTGATCCGTCATCAAGAGCAGAGATCATGATGAGAGCTCAAAATCTATCTTCAATTAGCATCAGTAATTATCTTGATTCGCAAGCAAGCCAATACGTAAAGGAAGACGACGTCAAAGAAATTGCTGAAAAGAAGACGAAGGAATGAACATTCCAATCTGACACGTATGCACTGAAATAAGAGAGAGGGAGGGAGGGAAAAGAACGGGTAGATGTAGTATGGATGTGACAAAAACATGAAGGGGATAAAAACTGAAAAGCGATGGGGAGAGATTTATTTAAGGAGAGGGAAACTATGAAGAAGATAAGTAAACTGAACGGAAGACATTTTTAAAAAAAAGTAACAAAATTCGATAGGAGAGAAATAAAGCGAGCGAAGAAAATGGCGCGCAAGACAATTTAAGACTGTGGGGAAAAAAAAAAGAAGGATAAAAAGGAAAAGAGAGAGATGAAAATGCAAGAAGAGAAAGAAAGAGGAGAAAAAGATGAAACCAGAAAAGAGAGAGAGAAAGAAGGAAAAGAGAAGGAAATTAAGAGAAGTGTTAGAGGGAGAAACGAAATAAACTGAGAGAAAAGAAATAGAAATATATATATATATATATATATATATATATATATATATAGATAGAGAGAGAGAGAGAGAGAGAGAGAGAGAGAGAGAAAGACAGAGAAATAAAAGTAACACAAATATAAAATTGTTCATTCGTTCTGAGTGCTTTCGGCTAATGTATAAGTCATTTTGCAGGATTTGGGGCTGTGCTATTATAAATGATGTATAGGTTGATAAAAGTTAGAAATATTTTTTTAATTCTGAATATTATATATATATATATATACAATGAAGCCAAGAAAAATTATGAAACAGCCCTAAAAGATAATGAGTTTTTGGCAACACACACATACACAGCACAGAAAAAAGCCAACAGGAAAAAAACATGATATGCTTCAATATGCCATACAACAAAAACGTAAAAACAAACATAGGAAAAATATTCATTAACCAAACGTAGGAAAAATATTCATTAAACTCACTTACAAACACTTTCCTCTCCAGAAGTTACTCGACAAAAACACAGTCAAAATGTGCTAAAGTTGCACCGAGAACATGACGCAAATAATAAAAAAGCACAAAAACAGGCAACAAAGCACCTGCACAAACCAAATGCACCTGTAACTGGAGATCAAATGACGAATGTCCCTTAAATGGAAATTGCTTACAGAACAATATAAGATACCAAGCCACTGTAAAATGAGCAGATAACGAAAAAAATACATAGGGCCCTAAAGGACCCTGGTAACAGAAACTACGCAAACAAAACATTCTTTTCAAGCAGTAAATACGCGAATAGCACAATGCTTTCTAAACATGTATGAGAAATTAAAAACAAAAACCAAATCACACCAAAAATATCATGGAAAATAAAGAAAACTGCATGAGCCTCGAACAATAAATCCAAAAACTCTAAACTCCCTCTTGAGGAAAAAATAGATATATAGTTACTATTGTGAGACCGGAACTACCTACACAATAGACTCTCCCAGGTCTATATTAAGTATGCGACACAACACTCTAGAGTGACAGAGACACTGAGAGTGACACAGAGATACAGTGAGAGTCTCGTACGACTACCAGTGTTGGACAATAACATATAGTAAGCTCCGCTTACATTATCTCTGTAACCTGTTGTTAATATATCTTTCTTACATCTAATCCGTGTTCTGTGTTTTACTTCTGTGGTCCCAACTTTGGCCCCACATCAGTAGACTAACACAAGTTGCTAAATAAACGATCAGAACTCATCTCAAAATGCAAACACGAAAACAAATTTTTATTACGTTACATACAAATTGAAAAATAAAAGCTAAAAAAATATAAATAATGAAATTAAATAAATGAATCCAAATCAGTAAATAAATAAATACATTAAATAAACTACGAACGCATACATAATCACAAGTAAAATTAATAAGAAAAATCAACAACAAATAATAAAATAATAAATAATAATAACTTAAAAACAACACTATAAAATAGTCAGAAAACTACATTAGGATCCACAATTATTTCCACACAGTAGCATCTAGAATAATTCTAAACATAACCGTTACTGCCCACCCAAATAACCGTTAGAATAATAAAATAGACCTAACCATAATGCAATACTGACCAGCATATATAAATAGTCGAAACAAAACAAAACGCATATGACGATTGAAGAGGGAGAGAGATAGAGGCCTTGATATCCATAGTTACTTTCGTAAGAAACTTTATAGATCTCAAACCCACATTTTTGGAATACTAAAGAAAACGAAATGTGGTAATTTTAGGTTTTCATGGGTAATTCTCGCAATGAAAGAATTTGGATTTATAAAATAACAAATTTGTTTTCTCCAAATATCAACTTCTGGCTTCTTTCTAAATTAATATAATCTCAAAAAAAGTGTAATGGCGAGTAACCCCACTCTGTTTTTCTCTGTGTGTTCACAGTGAGCTATTCGATCTCTCGTGACCCTCTAGCGATACCACTTGGAGACGTACAGTATTGTGTCATAAGTGCGAATCTAACTTGAATCACGCGTGCCCATAGTCCTGATAAAATTAAACGATTCCGAAAGACCATACTGAGAGTCCGATTGCTTCGATTTGTGCTGAGGGTATCATGCGGCCTAGCTGTCCAGAATCTAGTCTACAGTGTAGGAATGTTCATTTGACAACTCTTGCCAATATCAAAAAGCACCACTGACAGGAAAATTCCAACACGTGCAGCAGTTTTCTGAACTGACCATCTAGCGTATCGACTCACAATTTGACCGACCCTCAAACTGTTCAAATTAAGCAAAAAGAGTACGTATGTGTCTCCGTGCCATGACACCGACTCGCACTGGACTCTTTCCTACACTAAATCTTATCAAAATGTGTATCATTATCTAAAGCTCAGAAACAAACGGGACATTGCTATTACGTCCCAGGATGGCCGAAGATTTGAAAGATTTATATGAATACTCCAAAACGTACAAATAACAAAGAGAAAATTAGGCGAATAAACTACACAAAACCTGCTCTTTCAACAGTATTTTCAGTGATGAATATAGACCTATACTGAATAGACTTGATTTGTTGTGAACTAAAGAGTGGATCCAACCAATTTGACTCAGAGAAAAATAGTGGGAGGTGGAGTGATTTTAATTTTTTTTTTTTTACTGTAGACAGTAAAATTATAGATCCCGTCCAAGTTTACGATGTTATTTAGATAAACTGTTAATTCTTCGAGAACAAGTTCTTAGTGTGACATAGGTCACAACAAAAAAGCTTTAAGAAAATAATTACAACAAGTGATACAAAGTGTGGATAAAAACCTACAGTCACAGTGTAGCCATTTTGAATTTTTGACTGTAAAACTTACGTTTTACATGCCAGGTTACTTCCAGACGAATGCGACCATGACTCTCCACAGATTTCTTTTCTTTACTATCTGTGAATTGCCACGGATGAGATAGTGGAGTGGTTTGGGGGAGAGATGATAGAGTGGTTTAGGGGAGAGATGGCGGAAAGGTTCTGGGGAGAGATGGTGGAGTGGTTCTGGGGAGAGATGGTGGAGTGATTTTGGAGAGCGATGGTGGAGTGTTTTACTGTTGCAGTCTTCAACGTTTTAAATTCAGAGTAGTCTTTTTCCCAGACAGGCTACAACACTAGGCCAAAAATCCCAGTCTCCTTTGCTATTTAACCTATAGTTAAATGGAGAATTGGATTCATACATTTCCCAAGGCTAATAATACACCGATAACCGCTACGCTACACATGATTTTCTTTTTCATGGGATGTTACACTTTGTTTTTTTTTCTTCTATTACAAACATGCATATTGACGAAAAAATATAATTGATTCTGCTTGAGTTGTCGATATAAAAGAAAATAGTCCTGAAATTACATGACCAACAGAAACAGCTGTAGTTGATTTGTTTTGTATTCTATTTTGCTAATTTGTTTTGAAAGTAAAATATTACAAGAATGTTGAAAAGAAATTAAAGTACAAAGGTGTGAACCAGTTTTAGACGTTACATTCCGATATGAAATCTTATGAAACTGGGATGAATAACAATGTATAAAAAACAAGACTATACTGTGGTTAATTCAGATGATGACAGAATTTTGACTCAATGAGAATTTATTTAATGAAAAAAGCAACATGATATTATGAAACTGGAAGAGTCCTGAATTGTGGTTGATTTTTATCGTCATATTTGGATATATGGGTAGTGTAACGGTTATAGGTCGGCAAGAGAAATGGAATCATTGTGCCAAGTTCAAATTTCAGGTTAGTCTATTGTTTTCACTTTCACATAAATTCTATTAGAAAAAAAAATTAACCCCTCTCTTCTCCTCCTCGCTATAGGCTAAATATCAGAGTAGACCAGCCTCTCTAATCTTGGGTGGTAACCAGTCTAAGAAAAGGAAAACTTTGAATTAAAAACCAAGGAAAAGGCAGCAGTAAACCATTCTATTATCTTTCACAAGAACGCATAGAAATTCACAGATAATAAAGAAATGGAATCTGTGGAGAGTCATGATCGATTATATCCTGAAGGGAAATTGTATTTATTAAAAGAAATGAGGTGTGTTTGATTTAAAGACACTTGACTTCTTGTCTATGGCGCCAAGATAATGATCACAACAGCATTCTTATGCACAAAACACTGAACACGATGCAGATAAAATCGTCCAAGTTCTCCGAAAACGGCCAGTACACTGTGGCCGTGTTCATAATTGATGCTAGTAAGGGTCGATTTCTTTTATTTTATAATAAGGCTTTCTATTGCTTTTAAATGATTTCTGCAGTTGGAGGTACATATCGCATTCATGTTCTCATGTGTTCCGTTCTGAGCCTCGGTAAAGCGCTAAAAGCATTTAAAAGTGATCGAAGTCCTTATAACAAACAAGAAATCAGTCCTTAATAACATCAATTATCAACACAGCCAAAGTGCATTGGTCGTATTTGGAAATTTATACATATACAACGGGTCCCAAAACAATTGACATCATTTTGTAGTCTAATAACATAGTCAATTTTCGCTCAAATGATCTCGAATTTTAACAAAATGTGTAAAAACATAGTTGAATTTTGTTAGAATATGCTCAAAAACAATCAAACAAGATAGTGCAGCGTGAATTTTCGAGAAAATTCAAGGAAAATGCACCAACTAGAAAGCAGATTTCGACATGGCAGAAAAAATTCAAAGACCCTGGCGAATGTTACGCAAGACATGCTACAGCGTGTTTGGTAGGAGCTAGACTACCGACTTGACGTGTGTTGTGTCAAAGATGGTGTGCATATTGAACATTTATGAAGCTTTGTTAAATCGGTTATAAAATGTAAACCCTTTGTATATCTGGTTCGAATTTTGATAAATCTTGTATTGTTCAACATGAAGCCTATTTAATTTCGTTTGCCTGGCACATGTAGCTACTCAGATATTCACATTTTAAATTATGTAAATTTAGCGGAGCACCCTGTGTATATATATATATATATATATATATATATATATATATATATTATGAATTTACTAATTTAAAAATATGATACCCTACCGCCCCTTATTAAAATGATTAAATTCTATAAGTGAATTTGAAGTTTTAGCTTCTGTTTTTGAAACATGGTAATTCCTGTGTAGCAATGGAACCATATTTTTAAATTAATAGATTTATAACATTTATGCTCTGTAGATTTGCATTGAGCACTGTTTTGTAAAAATAGAAATATTAATAATAACACCGGATTATATATCTTACTGTTATATATATATATATATATATATATATATATATATATATATACGTGTCTATACGTGTCTATATACGTGTCTGTCAATACGCCATTTACATATCGACTCCATTGATAAAAACATTAGTTGTAATATGTCCTTTAGAGGAACGTGGAAGTTTTAACATAGTCTTATATAAGCCTGTGTGTGTTTTTATGTGTGTTTGTGTGTGTGCGCGCGTGTGTGCGTGCGTGTGTGCGTGCGTGTGTGTGTGTGTTCGCATTGGTTCTATTCCTAACATCAAATCAACCGTCTACATAAAATCTACTGTAAGAAAAAAACAATATAATGTGCGGTGATAACAGAGCATTAGATAGATAGATAGATAGATAGATAGATAGATAGATAGATAGATAGATAGATTTTATTATGCAAGTCAATGTTTCAACAATTGCTATGAAGCAACCGATGTGAGTAAAAAATATTTAGGATATCTTTATATCTATGTGAGCAATATATCAAGAGTTTCAGCGTCCATTATCTTTACAGGTTAATGATATTTATATCATCGTTGAAGGTGATGTTTTGGGGGTGCTGTTTCTATACAAGGTTCAATACAATATTCATTTATATATAAATCCAAAAGACATAGATCACAATACCATATATTGAATTAATACAATATCCCACATGCCTGAACAAATTATTATTTTATTTTACATGAATAGAAATATAGTTAATATGGACTCTTTGACATTCTACAACCTTCATCAGTCTTTCAACTATAGATTTTCTTAACTTTTCTACGGCTACGACTTTAGTAAATTATAGCATGTTTTATTAATTCTCATAGATTTTCTTTGCTTGAATATTACTTTCCATTCTCATATACATCTGTTTTAATGATTGGTCATAAATTTTCTATTAAATTTATATCTGGAATTATATTTATTTGGTTTTATTTTAGCAAAATCGGCAATAATCAGTTTTGTTGAATGTGTAATAACACTGTCTTTATGAATATAAACTTTAATAATTCACATTATTTACATTGGTTGGACTGTTGTCCTCACCTTGGTTGTCATATTTACGACGTATCGGCCGTTATATGTTCCGGCTTTCTTCAGGTGCTTGGAATTTCGAACCGAAGCCTGTTTTTCGTCCACCGGGGTAGAGTGGTCACATGGCCCAGTGGGTAAATGTGTGGTCTGAAATAATCTAGTAAATTGACCCAAAGAGTTGTCAGTTCAATACCTGGCCACAGGAGAGGTGAACGAAAACTTGGAGAGTTGATTCACCAAAGAAAAATAACTGAAACTGAGATATCCGGAAGAGGCATGGCACGTGGAACTAGAACATTCTACTGCGGTGGACATATTGCTCTCATGGTCTCATCAAAAAAAAAATTGCGCTAATTCTCTGCATTTACTTTCACACCATTCAACTACTTTAATACGCTATACTTCTATAATTGTATTGCCCAGCTCAAAGTTCTACTCCACTATACCTCCTTTCTATTTTAAATCTTGTTGGCTGACTATTTTCGTAAAAATCTCAAATTATAACTAAGCCATCAGATTCAACAAATTTAATTCTACATTTGTCTCTAAGAATTAAAGTTGAGGAATCAATTTTCTTGTACTCATTCGACCAACTTACACGTTTCTCTTTGTGATGTTTAGTTAAAGATGGGCGCTTGGGTGCATTCATGCCTGCTTTAGAAATTAATTCTTTCTTGACATATTAATAAATAGAAGTATGATGTTACAGAAGGCAACGATAGCAAAATGTAAATGATTCACTTTTTCAAACGTGTTATTTAAATATTCATAATAATGTCTACGCTTTTTTTTTCTTTCAATCGACACCAGTTATTCTAAAATTGCTTCTTAACCTTTGGCCCCTGACCACCCAACCTGTCTGAAAAGCACTTCGATTCACTTTTCACTGATTACTTACTGAAATCGATATTGTACCTAATCACTAGACTTAGAAATGACTCTGGGGGTCGCCATTTGCCTATTTTTGTGTCTGCCTGCTTTCATCAGTAATTTTGAGGTGATTCCATTACAAAGAGATGAAAAATTTGGCAACTCGCTTTTGGCTCGCTCGTTATCAGTGAAATTGTAGTGTGAGTTGAGAAGTATCACACACACACAGATATGCACATAAAAGCATGTACACACAGCCAAACATATACATACATGCATACTCGCAAAAAAAAGCAAGCACACACAAACACAGACACACACACTAAATTATAAATTTGAGGTTACCACCTCTCAAATTATGATCAATGATACGTGGTGATCATCGGATCGCAAGGAATTACAATCTATTTATTTATTGCTACTTTTGTTTGCATGCCTTTTGTCTTGTATGAAAAATTGTCAAATGAGTTATTTATCATTAATAATGACGGAAAAACGGATTAACCCCGTATATTATACGAGATTATGAGGAGCATGTTGATACGTCCCTGAAGCTGTGCCTCATAATCGATAATACAGTCGCTTTGTTGGTCAGGATGGTGCTTGTCGAAATATATGCACTGGGTCGTTTCATGTGTGCGTAGATGGCTAATAAAATTGTAAATCTTTGCACAGATGCCCATCAACACAAGATGACTACCTTCTCAGTTTTGAATATTCAATATATATATATATATATATATATATATATATATATATATATATACACGAATTATATATATACATATATACACACATATATATGCACATATATATACACACACAAATATATACACATATATATATATATATACACAAACGTATATATACAGACACATATATACACACAGATATATATACACACACACATGTATATACCCATATATATATATACACACATATATATACACACACACATATGTACATACATATATATACACACATATATACACACATATATATACACAGACTCATACACACACATATATATATACACACATATATATATATATATATATACACACACACACACACACACACATATATATATATATATATATATATATATATATATATATATATATATACCTACTCAACTGACACATGAGAAAAGTATTTTATATTGTGTGTGTGTGCGTGTGTATGTGTTAGACTATAATGGAGTTCTTTAGTTGGAATGTTTTAGGTGCATTCCATTGCCGAAGTTGTAGCAGACGACTGACACAAAAGTTGATATCTAACAATATCGAATGAATAAGTTGATGCTACATTCCCTATCTTTGTTGTTTTTATCACAACGTTTCGACCGTTTTGCCCTCCTGCCTTCAACAAGTGATTGTTGATCCGAGTAAGCTTCAGAGAATTTCAAACTGAACCCTTTATTTAATCTACGAGGGTGAGAGGTAGATTTTTCTCGTTTCCCTGTGCATGTCCACGGATATCTCGTCTAGTTCTTATTTTAGTACTGCTAAGTTATTTTTCGCCCACATTCCTACTGAGTTCAAGTACATACTGTCCAGCCCAGGGATTGAACTCGCAAGTTCCTCTTACTAAAATAAAAATTAAATGAGATATCTACGGACAGAACTGGAGGCGAATAATCTACCGCGATAGCCGGAACGTGCCTTTACCAATTCGGCTACGGAGGCCGCCTTGACAAGGAGACGTTTTGGCTATAGAAATAGTTTCCATGATGGAAAAGAGTATACAGGTTCATTTCCTATCGGAAGTACGATCTTTCTTTAGTAGGACTTCTCAATCTATGTCAGTTGTTATTAATTTCATTGTTTCTGAAAATAAAAAATAGGGATAGCAACTGAAATACGTGTGTGTTCTAGGCTGATTCTGTTTTCTTTGTTTTCCATGATATTTTTGGTGTGATTTGGTTTTTGTTTTTAATTGCTCATGCATGTTTAGAAAGCATTGTGCTATTCGCGTATTTACTGCTTGTAAAAAATGTTTTGTTTGCGTAGTTTCTTTATTACCAGGGTCTTTCAGAGTCCTATGTATTTTTTTCCTTATCTGCTCATTTTACAGTGGCTTGGTATCTTATATTGTTCTGTAAGCAATTTCCATTCAAGGGACATTTGTCCTTTTCTCTCCAGTTACAGGTGGGTTTGATTTGTGCAGGTGGTTTGTTGGTCGTTTTTCGTTATGCTTTTTTATTATTTTGCAGTGATCAGAAATGATATCAGATAAAAAAATACACTCAAAAATTATTGGTCTTTATCCAAATATAGAGTTATTATCGAAATAAGTATACACTTAAACACTTTTATTTAAAATGAAATTGTATAATCTCTGCATAACCCAGATTTGAAACAATGGCTTCATCCTACTTAAGAGATTTTTTCTTTACAATGTCAACTTCAGATTGTGCTAACATATGGCACACAGTAAAGATTACTCCGAAAAGCTAATCAGAGTATTAAGAGACATAAAAAAAAAATTTTTTAGAAACAATGAAAAGAGAACTAAACTGATACGTAATGTCTGTCCTCCTATATGGCAGTGAATACTGGGCAGTCTCCTTAAAGATGAAGAAACTTGGGGCAATAGAAATGTGGTTCTACAGAAAGATGCTGAGGATACTATGGGTCGAATATGTGAGCAAAGACGAAGTTTTAAAATGAAAACAAAAAAGAAACTTATATTTTGCACCAGGAAGAAAAAGATGACACATAATGAGGAATGAGGACTTTGGAAAATCTGATATACACAGGACAGATTGAAGGCAAGAGTTTACAGAGGAAAACAACACGTAACATACTTAATGAGCTTTTGTAAATGGATAGCGGAACAGGGATTAGGAGAAATAACAAAGGAGAGGAAATTGTGGAGAGCCACGACCACCTACGTCGTGAGGGGACGTGGCACATAAAGAAGAAGATAGGATGTCGACTGTTTTGCTACCCGGATGAATAGAAGCCAAACTTGGAAATGGATGAAAAAAATATTGGCACTATAAACTTTGAATTAGCAATCACAGAGATTTCTTGAACAAGTGGCAATTTTGTCTGGCATTGGTAGATTATTCCACTAGGTAATAAAGGGGAATAACTGATGAAAGATAATAGAGCCAAGGGTGTAATCAGGAGGTATAATGGACATAAAGGTATGCTACTGTAGAAACCAACCAATAGGATGAGAAAAAATTCTCGATTTTATGCTAATAACCTCTTTCAAGAGATTAAAGATAAGAAAATACCAACGGAACAATAGATAGATAGATAGATAGATATGAACAAGCTAATATATATGTACGTGCTGGAGAAGGTAGACCGACAATCATCTACATGCACGTGAGATTTATCCGTTTTCTAAACTCATTCTGCCTGACTTCCTAAATAGTTTAAATTCGGCATATCCATTTTGAACCTTACACTTTGTCCTTTTTTAACATGTAATGCGCATGCTCAACAGCAATAAGAAGATAAAAAAAACAACCAGCGAGCCGTTATTACAGCCTTAACGAACAATATTTCTTCATATTTTGTACAGTTTTTTGTTTTGTTTTTTTTACCAAGAAAAAATTATTTCCAAATGGATAAAAAAATTACTGGAAGGAAAAAAAAGTTTCAAACCATTGAAATGTTATTTCGCCATATTTCAACATACGAATCAATAAGATACCTTGTACATTTACCCTTAATATATTGTGGGTACAATTATATCCTTAAAAAATTCCACATTTTCCTCTTGAATGTTTTTTTATACCTTGACGCTTATTTTATTTTGTTTTTATTCATTGAATCTTATTTGTTTTTTTTATGTATTTTGCTATAGGCATTTTGAGCATTCCTTCAACTGTTCTTTTTAAAAGTTAATTACTTTTTTGCATTTGTTCGGGTCGTGTGTCTCGATTGTAATCTACAAATGAATAAATAATGTCAACACATAAATAAATCTTTTACCTGGTCCACCCAAAGTGCGAATTGCAAACCGGAGATGCCAAAATCAAACGTGCGGAAATATCTGGGAAGTGTTTTAATAGAGGTCGGAAAGTGTGACACTAAAATCCGAAATCGTATTGGGATAGCCAAAGATGGCTTCCAAAATTGAGTACTAAGAAGTAGAGAAAAAATCGCTAGAAATAAGGAAGCTACTATGTGATACCTATCCTACAGTATGACAGTGAGTGATGGAAGATCTCCTTAAAGATGAAGAGGAGACTTAAAGCAACAGAAATATGGTCCTACATAAGAATGCTGAGGATACCGTGGACTGAACATATAACAACGAAGTTTTGGAAAAAATGGAAACAAAAAGAAAACCAATAGTTAACATCTAGAAGAGACAGTTGAGATTTCTGGGGCACATAATGAGGACGTGAAAAATCTGATACTGACGGGGCAGATTGAGGGCAAGAGGACAGAGGAAAACATCGCATAAGATACTTAGTGAGCTTGAGTAAATAGATGGCGGAACAGGGCTTAGGAGAAATAATAAAAAGACACGTTTATTAAGAGCTAAAAAGAGCGGGAAATTGTGGAGAGCTATGATCGCCTACGTCCTGAGGGGATACGGCAGATAAAAATGAACTAATCAAAAATAGATATGTAGATATATCTTGATCGACCAATTGAATGCCAGATCCGGACTAAATAGAAAAGTAAGCTCAAAGGGTTGAGGTGGGAGAGTTATTTTTTTCAAGCCATGATAAACCGGAACATAAACAGGTCATCATTGACAATTGCGGAAAATATGTAAGCAACAAATGTATCTTGATTGTAGACAAATATGACGACATGTTCAATTTTTTGAAAGGACGATGAGGGGAAGGGTGAGGGGGATAATCAGACGTAAAGTTAATTTCAAGAGAAATTTTTTTTTTTAAATTTTAGTTTCAGAAAGTTTCTTAAAGGTAAAATTAAAAAATGTAAAATATCTGTATAAAATATTAATAATACTAACTGAACGACAATATTAAAGTAAATAAACAAAATAAGATAATTACTCCTAGAGGATGGACCATTATTTACAGATAAATTATGGCTATAAGAAATAGTAATACGTAATCTTTAAAAATTTAACTATATTTTAAGGTAAAAGATAAACTGTGTCTGCAATTCACTTCTTTGGTTTAATAAGGATTTTTTGCCAGTAAATTTTATCATTTCCAGTTTTTCATGTAACCATAAGAAGCAAGATTCATTTAAAGATTTACAAGTTCTAGCTTTTTTTAGTATTTTTACCTTAGGGGTTTATTAACTTCTTTTAAGTTCCAAAAATAATTAGAAAGGGACGTCCTATTTCTTTACGTACTATTAGTGAAAGATAATATATGTTGGTACGACCTAGATTTAAAGAAATTCTTGGTGCTCCCGATATAAAACTTTTAACTGTTAGATTTTCTATAGTATAAATAGTGCTTAGGTAAACAAGAGAGTGTTTGACATCGGTTTTGCAATGGACATTCGTTAGAATTTCTACAGTTACACTTGTCTATGTTCCGGTTTATCATGTCATGAAAAAATAGCTCTACCACTACCACCCTCTGAGCATACATTTTCTATTTAGCGCAAATCTTACGTTTAATTGATTAATCAAGACATACCCCCAAGTCTATTTTTAATTCTGACCTTTTGTTTCCCCTTTAACTTTCGGAAAAGAGGTAACACTTTGTTTTAAAATTTTCTTAAAATCATTTAATAACACACACACATACATATATATATATATATATATGTGTGTGTGTGTGTGTGTGTGTGTGTGTGTGTATGTGCGTGTGTATATATATATATATATATATATATATATATATTATAATTATTAAAAAATATGATTCCATCGTGACACAGAAATTACTATGTTTCGAAACTGAAACTCAAGTCCCAAAGTTTAATTTCAAAATTAAACTTAAAATTTAGAGCACAGCTTCATTCACAATCGATGTTTAGAATAATTTTAAGCTCTACTTCTGTATTGAGCACTTTTTAAAATAAGAATATAAATACTAAAGAACTTTCGATTATTAATCTAACTGTTCTTGTCTATTACATCAACACACACACACACACGCACACACACACACACACACACACATATATATATATATATATATATATATACTAGTGCCAGAGAGAGGGAAATAGATACATAATGGACAATGTGAAATATGTAAAACAAAACTATATAGAATGCATGACTAGTCCAATCGACTAATGAAACAATCTGCTAATGAATAAAAATGTCTAATAATGAATATCGTCCTTTATAAAAGTAACGATAATAAAATATAATTGTTATTAGATGTTTTTTTCATATGGATGCATCCGGGTGCACTAATGTTAAAGATTCTTCAAGCAGTCTGGCTGATTTTGTTAAAAAGATAAAATAAAATTCAGTTTGCAGACTTTTTCTCCTGGCAAATTCAGGCCAAAGAGAATTTTCTTTTTCGTAGCTATGTGCGAATAATTCCAAAATGATCGATCACGTAGCAATCAGATATCGTAATCTATAACAATAAAGAAAATCATCCAATTATGATCGAACCATCAGATAAAAAAAAAAACATTCGAAAAGTCACGTAAAGACCGACGAACTTGCCAATACCTCATTGGCTTTCTTTCTCTTCTCCCTCCCATTCTCTTTCTTCACTTCCCTCCCTCTTCCTTTTCTTCAGGTCGTTACTCTCCCCTCTCTCTCTCTCTCTCTCTCTCTCCTTCTCTCTCTCTTCCTCCCTCTCTCTTCCTCCCTCTCTCTTCCTCCCTCTCTCTTTCTCTCTTCTCTTTCCAAGATATCTGTTCGGGATTACAGCTCAATGGTTATACAGCTGATTATCATTCGTGTGTATTTGTGTTAAATGCCTACATGCCTGTCAAGACAACTATATACGATCATAGCACGATTAGGACTCATTTAAACACGCACAAAAATCTACCAGGCTCCATTCGAAACATAATAGTAGAAAATACAAGCATAATAACCTCATCCACATGTAAAAAAGATTAAATATAACGGAAGACCTAATAATAAAAAAAGAAAGAAGCCAACACTTAGTAACATTAACTAAAAACACGGCCACAATATCCTGACCGTGCTTAGAAAATAAAACATTCCTATAACACTAGATACATACACAACACAATCCATACATTTAGTTAAAAGTAAAAATAAAATAATCCTTGATAATGGCGAAAAGTGGAGCCGAAAGCTCTCGGATATGCAGAAATTTTGAACAGTATCGCGTAAATAAAAAGCTTAATCGCAGTACCTTGTCAATCGTCATTAACGAAACATGTATAAAAGAGGTTTTGCTGCCTAAATACATAAGATAGATAGATAGATAGATAGATAGATAGATAGATAGATAGATAGATAACGTTGGTATTGCATATTTTCAAGTACATAAGCTTACTGACTGAGACGAGAGAGAGAGATGGTTGTACAACGCTAGTCATTCAACTGAAGGCCTGACTTCCTTGACAATCAATGATTGAAATCATTTTTTCTTGGACTCATATTACAGGTAAGAGTCAAAATAGCAATCATATTAGGTACAAAAAAAACCCTTCTTAGTAGTCGAGGGGGTAGAGCCAGAATTCTAAGCAGGGTTGGGTACGAAATGAAAAAGAAAATAATTGATATTTGAGTTGAAGCTTTTTGTAACACACACATGACAAAAATATAAAATCAGGCCACGTGACTGCAACACTTAGCGCCGTAGGGACACCACATGTTCTGCAGCTATGGCAGAAGTGATATGTTTCGGTTAAAATAGCTTGTCAGTGCCCATAAAAGTAGAAAAAAAAAGAAATTTATCAGAGAACCAACTAGTAAAAAAGAAAATTATAGAATAAAATGGAAGTCATCTTATTAGGTTTGTGCAAAATTTGCCAGCGCTTCTTTTCTGAAAAACAGAAACTGAATATACAACTGAAAACCAGTTTTACGCTGGAAACTTTTGCACACGCCTATAATCCGTTAGGGTGATAAGGACACTCCATGTAACGCACCAGCATTTGTGTGTCTTGGGCAAGAAAGACTGACACAACCCCAGCCTCTCTAGGCAAGTTTAAATTCAGAGTTTTCTCCTAGACTGGTTGCCAACGAAAGCCAAAGCTTACAGCCTGTCTTAGGTGGGGGAGAAGAGATGAATTCATACCTTTCTCAAGGATATTTTGAGCGTAAGTAAATGTAACACACCTAACTGAAATTCGAACTCGACTCTCTGATTTCGCATTTCGAACCGATATTCACTACACGACTGCGTATACTTATATCTTAGATGAAATACTTTTTGTTTTTTTGGGGGTTTTAAATATTAATTTTTTTAAACATACCACCCCAAGCAAGGCTATCACGCAAGGGGTTACAGAGAGTGAGAGCAAGAGTAAAGATGGGGGGGGTGAGGAAAGGCTACAGAAAAGGATGGGGATCAGGATCAAGACATCAGAAGATGTCGATTGACATTGCATTTCAATATTTGAAGATTATAGATATCAGTGAAGCAAGTAACACGAAGGGAATTCCACTGTTGGGAAGTGCAAGATAAGAAGCTGTTTGAGTAGAAAAGGCGGTTACATTTAACTGTTTCGACAGTGAAAGGGTGGGACGGAGATGTCAACCCAGTAGCACGCTTAAATTTATGCAGTTTCAGAACCAGAGAATGTAGCTCGTCAGAGCAGTTGGTATGAAAATACTTGTAGAAAAGACATAGGGAAGCCACAGCACGTCTGTGAGAGAGTGACTTTAGATGAGATGCCAGATTAGGACCTATCACATTGCTTATCCGTCTCTACGATTATCCACAATTATTTATTTTATTCTTATTTCTAAACTTTCTTTATGTAGATATTTTAAATAAAATGAACTGTACTTTGCTCGAACAGGGGACATCCGGAAACGATCGTGACCCCAGATCCGCGCCTGTAGATAAGTCTTCTGTTTCTGATACGTTAAGCAATAAAGAATAATAAACCGATGATTGACATAAAGTCTGATTATTGTTATTCAACTCAACTCCCCTGTCTTCAGACGCCCCAAACTTGATACGCCATTTTCACGCGTCGACGACAGTTAGACTGATTTGCAGGGAGCAAAGTTTCCATAAGCTGTTAACCATTGATTGGACAACACTGGCAGAGTCGGCCATTTATCCTCGAGACATAAAGAAGTCTCTTCTTTTCCTTGACATAATTCCGGCCATCAATCATTTCGATTAAATATAATACTAAATTATAATGACAGAAAACGTCGGTGTGATTGAAGAGGCGCCAAAAACCTTTTCACAGTTTGATTCGGTTTTTTTTTTTCCATCTTAATTCTTTTATTACTTTCCCGTTTTCTTCCAACATTCCCTGATGATATTTAACTTTCTTACTTTAGCCTTACTTTCTTTTTTGCAAAGATATTCTCGTAGTCTTACAATTATATTTTTCTGTCATCTGTCTTCATTTTTTTTTAATGATTTCATCCAAAGCAAGAAACAAGGGGCTACGTGAAGTGAAAGAGAATGAAAAATATGTAAAGGAACAGGAAACTCAGTCCTAAACAGGAAACAAAGGATAAAATTCCTATTGAAAGACCTGGGAAGAGTGTGAACCGGACGATAAACGAACCTATCTACTTCTTTGGTTTATTCCTACAAACTTGGAGTTTCATGACTTATGACAAGAATTGTGAATTAATACAGTAGTGAAGGAGGCACCAAGCAACTCAAACTATTTTGTATAAAAGTAAAAAACGAAAGTATACATAGGAGTAACTTTTGTATACTTTTAAAATGATACATAGGAGTAACTGAAGGAAACAAAACTATGCACACAAAACATCTTCCACAAATAGTAAATACGCGAACAGCACAATGCTTTCCAAGTACATCTGGGAAATTAAAAACAAAACACAAATCACAGCAAGAGTATCATGGAAAATAAGGAAAAGATCACCAGCCTACAACAATTAATCCAAAACCTGCAAACTTTGCTCGGAGGAAAAATTAGCTAATATTACCTTCCCAGGCCAAAATAAATTACTAAATAAACGATCTGAGCTCATCTCAAAATGCAGACATGAAAACAATTTTTTACTACGCTACTTAAAAATCGAAAACTGAAATGAATAAATAAAAATAAACAAAATAATATAAAAAACAAGTAAAATAAATTAACCTAAACAAATAATAAACAAATTAACAAACCACTCCCGTTAGAATAGACGAAATAGAATAAATAAAAATAAAAAATAAATACATAAAAAACAAGTAAAAATAATCACCCCAAATAAATAAATAAAGTAAATAATAAACAAATTAACAAACTAATCCCGCCAAAATAACCGTTAGAATAGACTTCAGCAATCAATCCAATAATTGGACGAAAAAATAGCTATAACTGCTATAAAAGGACAAAAAATTACTACTTTATTCAAAAATCGAAAACCGAATAGAGTAAATAAAATATACAAAATAAAATATAAGTAAATAAATAAGTAAAAATTAATCCGAATAAATAAAAGAAGAAATCGCTCCCGCTAAAATAACCATTAGAACTAATAAAAATAAACATAAACAAGTAAAAATAACCAATCCAAAAAAAAAAAAATAATAAACAAATTAAAAACTGTCCGCCCGCCAAAATAACAGAATAGACTACGGCAATCAATCTAAAAATTGGACGAATAAATAGCTTTAATTATCTTCCCAGACCAAAACAAACTATTAAATAAGTGACCTAAGAACCCCCCACCCCCGATTTTTTTACTACATTAATAAAACATCAAAAATCGAAAAGAATAAATAAATATATAGAATAAAAAATGAAAATAAAAACAAAATAAATTAACCCAAATAAATAAATGTTGAAAATGCATGGAATAATAATGCAACACAAAATGTACTTAGAACAAAATGTATTGAAACAAGAAAGTGTACACAATATTAACATATAGTCGTTTGTATATTCCTGGTAAGACCATTCCTCGAGAATGTGTTGACTGAGTCGCAGTCGTGCAGAGTCTCCGGTTGAATCTCTTGATTCCTCCCTCTCTTCCCGGTACCAACCATATTTATATGGTCGGTACTCCACTATGCAAATTAGGTGGATCCTACCACAACAATAAACAAGCCACTTCTGCCAAAATAACCCCCAGAATGTTTACACACAATGCACCACTAACCCATATATATAAATAGTCGAGAAAAAAATCCTACACTCGTGGCCTGACGATTGCGTCTTGCATGAAACAGCCTTTCGCCTCTGAGTGTTAATTTCAATATTCACTTATATATATATATATATATATATATATATATATATATATATAATGAACTTTTCTTAGAAGAAGGATAGGAAGTTATGCAGAGCTATGATTGTAGTCTTTCTGAAAGGACATGGCTCATAAACGTGTAGGATCAAAAAGTACGCTGTAAAGCATTAAAATATTAAAATAAAACACCCTTCTTGTTTGACGATCACTACAATCTTGTTCAAGGCTAGAGTCAACCATTATCTTTTCCACATACCCCATAAAGCTTTTACTCTGTAATCCTCTGCCTCGTGTTGCTCTTGGGACTTTGTAAACATTATTATAAAAAAATATTTACATTTTTGAGTTAATTTAACATTAGTGACAGTGTTTTAGGAGGAAAGAGAGAGAGAGAGACGAAGAAGAAGTAAGAGGGTCGAATGAATTGTAAAATGTCTCCTATTCTGTTATGATGGTCCACGACAACAAAAACTTAAACAATGAGTTAATCTATTTAGTTCGGATATGACTCGACTGTTTGAAGACACAAAAAAGACATTTGTTTTCAGTCAAAGGAATATGAGTGATGCGTGTTTTATAGTGACATCGTGAACTAGCCAACTAAATGCGTCATAATACTTGAATAGACGTTGAGTAAACAATTAATCACCGTGTCCGTCTGTCCCTGCTTTCCCCGCTAACCTCAAGTCCTGACAAATACTTTGATTGCAACGAGATTAGTTGATACGACTTTATAATGCGAGGTGTCAGGTAAAACGTTCGGGTAAATTTGAACAGAGAGCGCGAAATGAATCAAAAACGAACTTTTGTTGATATTTTGATTGACTGATTCGTTTTTACGGCTTATCAACCCATTATAGGTTATTTAAAGCCAGAAAATATTTTCATATTGTAAGAAAATTTTTGAAATGATAATAACGGTTTGCTGATACAACTCTTACGGGAATTTGAACTCTGCTCTCCGACTAACAATTCTGAGCCATTATCCGTTACACCATCTGCATATCCAAGCTTACAGAACCTGGTATTACACAAGCTGTCACCTGTCTCGGTACTGGCCAGGATCGACTTTGCTTAACTTCTGTGATCTTGCAGGAACCGATGTTTCAACATGATGTGGTCGTAATCCTGACGAACAATTATTATTATCCTTTGGGAACCACGATGAAAAGAGCAGATCAATGTTGCTCAAACT